GGATATTTGCGATTGAAGAAGGTGGGGTAGCCTGGTTTCAGAGGTTAAATTAATGAGAAAATGGCAGCCAAAGTTTGGCAACTTCAATAGCTTAAGAGTCCTTGAGAACTGAAAATCACATATTGTGTGCCTTTAAACAAGGGTTTTCAGTAAAATTCACATGGAAATGTATTTTCATACAAACATAAAAAGAGTTTAGCCAAAAAACAAAATTTCGATAAAAATTGCCAAACTTGTGGAAATATGCCTTTTCTCCGATTTCATCATTTTGACGAGCGCCTGGTTTAACCCCGATGCCTCACAAATTGTTTTGATGAGGGCTAAAAAAATGCGCTTACATATACAGAGAACCAAAAAGGACTCGGAAAAATGAAAAAATGTTTGCTCCTCCCAAAATGTAAATACTCCTACATTATCAAACGCTGCACCGTGTGCATATTGACTTTCCCCTAGTACTAGCATACTCTTGTTTCTACATTTCACCCGTGGCCTTATTTATTTGAAACAACGTAGAACCAAAGTACGTGTAGTTATTAATAGCTGCCTACCTGTTGCCGTGAACCGAAGATTCTCTCAATACTCTCATCTTTGCCTGAACTGTTAGGGGTCTTGTTTATTTAACAGTCGGATTTGGCCTACAGTATTGCCATATCGGGCAGTGAAAACCGAGCCACAACAGAGCAGTAGTGTGTGCTACATATAGAGGTCTAGAGGTTGAATGATGCATCAGCTGTGATGTGCACATTTTGTCAGCTTTACTTCTCTTTTCTTATTGAATTTTAATGAGAGTAATATATAATCTGGGTAGGCCCAGAACAACATACTTAGGGAACCTAAACAAATGGGTAACAGGGAAAGATCAGGGAAACGTAGCTTTTTTTTTTTGAGAGCATCCCAGCAAAGGAATGAAAGGAGAACCATGATCGCCGATGTCTGTCGCAGATCTGGCACTGGATGAATATATAATCAAATTTAAATTTGCATGTATACCTGCATGTATTTTTACGTCCTGTACAGCCAAGAAAATGTCCCTCTGGGATAATATAGTGGTATCTTATCTTATCTTAGCTTATCTTAGCTTGAACTGTTGATCTGAGGATTTATTACAGATCGGAGGGTAGAGGGGACAAAGACAGAGAATGTAATTGTGTTGGCAAATGTTGATATGTGATGATGATGATGATGAGGAGGAGGAGGAGGAGGAGGAG